AAGATTTTTCTCAAGAAGAGGAAAATGTGCAAACAATTTTTCCGATAATGGAACCAACTTTGTGGGAGCTTCGCGCAAATTAGACGAGGAATACCAGAGAGCCCTCAGAGACAACATTAAAGTGTTCCAATATTAGAAAGAGAACAGATCGAGTGGCATTTTATTACCCGGGCAGGACCTCACTTCGGAGGTATTTAGGAATTACCACTTAAAAAGGGTAATTGGGGACAATAATTTAACCTATGAGGAAATGGCAACTCTATTATGTCAAATTGAAGCGGTACTAAATTCACGTCTTTTGTAGACAGCTACAAATGATATTGACGATCTGGATGTATTAACACCAGGTCATTTAATATAACTAAAATTTGTCCATTAGCTCGAATTGAATCAGAAGAGCAAGACTCAGGAATGACTCCAAAAGAGACCAGAAGTACTGGTAGTAGTAAAAGGTAATTCAAATTTCGTGTATAGGAAGATAGCAGAGACAAGATCATTTTAGGTCGAATTAGAAAGGCAGGGTTGTTGGCTCATCAAAGTTCCAGTAAACACTAATGCTAGTAATGCTAATAATCTTCCGAAACAAGGAATTTTAACAATAATAAATGATTGTACTGTGCGAACCGATGTCAAAATACTAGTACCTCATCACAGTATTCAAACAGAAAGCTACGAGCCAATTTCATCCTTTTATATAAGTAATATAAGCAAAATACCAAAAATTGCTTGGAATCCATTAACAGTACCATTTATTAACCATACAGAAGAAATGGATAAGTTAAGAAACGAAATAAAATTGTTAAAGGAAGGTCATCATGACTTAAAAGGACTTAAGTTCCATCATGTATCTGGACATGCGGCCTTGATTATCGGAATCATAATAATGATAATATTAATAATCTATGCCATAAGAAGAATTAAAGTAGCACGAAGACTGCAAACGATAGGACTTCCCTACCCACTGTAATTGACTGTAAATGATTATCTGTACTTGTAATTATAGCTATAAAGAAAATGTACACAGAAAGGTTCACAAGAATCAAAATACACAAGAATCACATAAAGTAGACAAGTTATGACTACACTGGTGTAAACAGAGATCTGTAACCCATTAATACGACAACAAAACACAAGTGGAGAAAACACTTAACAAATGCGGTCCTAAAATAAAACTAATGTAAGCATGTACTCAAATAGACACCCTCAGTGAAGTGTATCCTCTGCGTAGGTCTAACGATAATTATAGACTACCAAATTTTACCTCCTACCTCATTGTCAAATCACATATAAGGCTCTGATTTTAAGAATAAAATTTAGTTTGAATTTACAACTCAACTCGCAAATGTCTAGACTTTTCTTTTAAGGTCTTAACAATTATCTTTTATTAAAAAAGTAAAATTTGTCTATCTAATTAATTTAGTTTTCACAGTTATAAAGCTTATGTAAACTAATATCGTCGCAAGTGAAAAAGATTTTGTCTTCGTCATTTTTCTTACGTGTAATATGTAAATCAGAAATTTTTTTAATGAAAATATTATTTTTTGTGCTCTGCGCCGTTTTTGACCCGATAAAGTATATACTGTAACGAATGGATGATTAGAAAATAGTTCGGACCGGACCTAAATTCTCCCGAAAATAAAGCTTCCTCTTCCTCTCATTCCTAAAGCCTTCTCTGTTTCTAAATCTGAAATACGAACCGTAGAAACGTAACAACTGGTGTCAGAAAAGAGAATTTTGAGAATAGTTAAATACGGATAGTTAAAAGTTAAGTAGTTGAAGAGGGAATTGACTGAGCGGGGCTTACCGATGAGCGGTTTGAAAGGCAACCTGCTTTTACAACCTGCAATGGTGAGAACAGCCTCAATGTTGAAGATTATGAGTTTTTGGATGAGCAATGCTCCAGGGCGACAGTGGTGGAGAACAGTCCGGCGGCGGACAATGGCCAATTAATGGCGATGTTGCGACAGCAACAGATGACAGTGAAAATTGAAAGTCAAGGTGTGGCTATAAAGGGTCAAGGCAACCAACAGCAACAGGTGATGTTGCAGATAAAGACACAACGCTTGATGAGGGAATTCGGCAAGTGGAAAATCGCCAATTGGAATTGGGGTTTCCTGAAAACACCAAGTCAACAGCCAAACCGAAACTCGCTACACCTTGTTTTGATGGCATAAGAACAATTGTTGTTTTCATGACAGAATTCGAAATGTCAGCGTCGAGGAATAATAGGACGGAAGCTTTAGTGCTTTCCTTAAAGCGCTTGGCTGCTGAGGTGCTGCAATCGTGCCCTGGAACGTTGATATGGAGCTGACCATTTTCGGGAAGTTCATCGCATGGAACTGAAGGGCAGGGTACAACGTTACGGAGCGTCTCTTCAAAATTTCGCGATCGACATAGACCGACTTTCTGGAAATATACAAGATCAATAGTTTTATAGACGCTATTAAGATATAGCTGAAAGAATCACCAGAGAAAATAATGGTATCATGATTTGCAAGTCTCACTATTAGAGGCGTAATGGGTGGAAGTGAATGTGTGAATTAATGATAATTAAAAGGGATTTAGTTAATGGAAATGTGGAGCATCTGAATGGGATACGACTACAAAGAGTTACAAGGGGAACGCGCAAATAATGGGAATAATTAGTAGGAAATTAATTAGTAGTAGAAGACGACATCATAATTGGAGTAGATTTTATGACCCATTATAGTTTTCCACTGGACTTGACGGAAAAATTTCTAAGATATGAGAATGCACAATTACCTATATGAGAAAACGGTGCCAACGGGTATGGGTACGTGAGACAAACGCATCGCACAAGGAAATGGCAAATAAAAAGATCGAAGATGCAGTTCAGGCCGAAACCGGTAACAGCAACAGACGTAACAGTTAAAATTAAGTAGAAGCTAATATTAGTTAGAGTTAGATGTTGAGTCCCGAGAAAAACGGAATAGACTACCAGAGGCGTTAGATCGTCACTCTCACCGGAAGTGAAAAGTTGCAATATCTTTCTTCAACCCGCATGAATATTCGCCGTACGAGGACATCTGGAGGAGGTTTTCGGATAGTATCTGTGCCGTCCCTCCGTCTCTATGAGCGCCTAGATCTCAGAAACTATAAAAGCTAGAAAAGCTCAATTTTGTATCTAGACTCCTGCGATATCACACTGTTGCAAGTGCATTTCAACATTTTGCCACGCCCCTTTCCTCCCCGACGAAAGTCCTCTAGCTGAACCCTCCACGAGGGTGGTGGCTGTGCAATGGACACTGCATTATCCCGGACAAGAGTAATACACTGTCGCTTGCAGTGTCGAGCTAAGACAATGGTCTAGCGTAAGCTAGGGCCAATGATAGAGGTATTGGACTGGACGTTGAATTCTTTACATTTGGGTGTAGTACATATCTTCTTGAGTTATTACCAAAAAGATTTTTTTTGGTTTCGTCGCTCCATAATATATTATTCCACTGTTTTAGACCCATCTGTTCCATACCATGCCAAATGAATTTTTGCAAATTGTTGCCTCATCTTAAAATTATTAACTCGGAGCAAGGGATTGTTTCGGTCTATCCGTCTATAAATCCGCACATTGAAGTTTACGACGAACCAGCATAAATTTTATTGCCAATTTAAGCGGAAATAGCCTTGGAAGATATGAACGGCACCTTTTTTTAAAGGCTGATGATGTGTCTGTGGTTTTTGTTTGCTTTCATCCTAGATTTTCAGTAAGCATTTTTTATTTTAAAGCGTTCTGAACAAATCATACCGTCCTAGACACTTACCGAAAGATTTGTCGTATTTTTTTTTTTAAGAATCTTATTATACCCGATACTCAAAATGAGTATTGGGGTATATTAGATTTGTGGTAAAAGTTGATGTGTGTAACGTACAGAAGGAATCGTTTCCGACCCCATAAAGTACATATATTCTTGATCAGAATCAATAGGCGAGTCGATTGAGCCATGTCTGTCTGTCCGTGTGTCCGTCCGTCCGTCTGTCCGTCAGTCCGTCCCCTTCAGCGCCTAGTCCTCAAAGACTATAAGAGCTAGAGCAACGATGTTTTGGATCCAGACTTCTAAGATATGTCACTGCTACAAGAATATTTCAAAACTTTGCCCCGCCCACTTCCGTCCCCACAAAGGGCGAAAATCTGTGGCATCCACAATTTCGACGATACGAGAAAACTAAAAAGGCAGAATCGTAGGAGATGACTATATCTTCTAGAGTGTAAAATCTGAACCAGATCGTATAATTATTATAGCCAGAATCAAGAAAACAATTTCATTCTTTCTCGCTCTGTCTCTCTCTAACACACAGGTTTCATGGTCGGTTTTGCCAATTGCAAAATATGAGTTCAATGATTTCAGAACCTATAAGAGCCAGAGCAACCAAATTTGGTATCCACACTCCTGTGATATCGGACCTTGACCGTTTCGTGTCCAAATTTCGCCACACCCTTTTCCGCCCCAAAAAAGGACGAAAATCTGGGGCATCCACAAATCTCAGAGACTATTAAGGCTAGAGTAACCAAATTTGGTATCCGCACTTCTGTTAGATCTCACTATAAAACGTATATCTCAGAATTTAGCGCCACCCCCGTCCGCACGCACTCTTTGTCGTGTCGCTTAATATTAGCGGCGTCTGCCGGAGGAGAGCCATTCAGACTTAGTATCGGGTAAAACTGTAGAGTTGCGGTGTCCGCAGCAACTCACAACGTTCCCCCTCGTTTTTTTCTTCAGCAGTGCAATGCTCTTTGAGCAGACCAAAAATACACATCCAGCACAAACTTAAGCTTACAAGGGTACATTTTTGATTCAAATGTTTTGCAAGACTGCAACCTTTAAAAATATATAAAATTGACAGCTATGCATTCAAAAGCATTCGAGCTGTTTCATAACAAATTAGCACGATACCTATGTACTTATTATTTTAACCAGTAGTGTAGATATGGTTATCGTTCTACAGTCTTATATCATATGTAAATATAGTTAATAAAAACTTACCAATATAGCTTGTTTAGAATAAAGTTCGGCATCACAATTGTCGCAAAGATATATATCAAAAGGTGGTGGTTCCACCATCATATGTTGTAAATTATCAATAGATGTAGTCAAATTTTTTTGTTGAAGTAACAAGCATTTTCTATTTTTTTGCTGTCTGTCATATGACTGAAATATAATAAATTAATTTAGTTAATTAAGTTAAAGCCATACAAAATTCCGAAATTACGAAAACTTTTTCTGCTACAAATTTTTGATGCTAGCTTTTTTATACCCGGTACTCAAAATGAGTATTGGGGTATATTAGATTTGTGGTAAAAGTGGATGTGTGTAACGTCCAGAAGGAAGCGTTTCCGACCCCATAAAGTATATATATTCTTGATCAGCATCAATAGCCGAGTCGATTGACCCCTGTCTGTCTGTCCGTCCCTATTAGCGCCTAGTGCTTAAAACTTTGCCCCGCCTACTTCCGCCCCTCAAAGGACGAAAATCTGCGGCATCCACATTTTTAAAGATACGATAAAACCAAAAACGCAGAATCGTAGAGGATGACCATATGTTTTAGAGTGTAAAATCTCAACCAGATCGTATAATTATTATAGCCAGAATCAAGAAAACAATTTCATTCTTTCTCGCTCTGTCTCTCTCTAACGCACAGGTTTCATGGTCGGTTTTGCCAATTGCAAAATATGAGTTCAAGGATCTCAGAACCTATAAGAGCCAGAGCAACCAAATTTGGTATCCACACTCCTGTGATATCGGACCTTGACCGTTTCGTGTCCAAATTTCGCCACACCCCCTTCCGCCGCAAAAAAGGACGAAAATCTGGGGCATCCACAAATCTCAGAGACTATAAAGGCTAGAGTAACCAAATTTGGTATCCGCACTTCTGTTAGATCTCACTATAAAACGTATATCTCAGAATTTAGCGCCACCCCCTTCCGCCCACACAAAGGACGAAAATCTGTTGCATCCACAATATTGCAGATTCGAGAAAACTAAAAACGCAAAATCATAGATAATGACCATATCTATCAGATTGCTGAATCTGGATCAGATCGGATCATTTTTGTAGCCTAAAGCAAGAAATCAATTTGCAGTGGCTACGCAGCGCCCGACGTCACGCTCAGACTGATTTTCTGTCTCTCTCGCACGCACTCTTTGTCGTGTCGCTTAATATTAGCGGCGTCTGCCGGAGGAGAGCCATACTGACTTAGTATCGGGTATAACTGTAGAGTTGCGGTGTCCGCAGCAACTCACAACGTTCCCCCTCGTTGTTTTTATATCTATTATATTTTATATTCTTTTTATAATATCAAGATAAAAATTTATGGTTTTTAAACGGTATTTTTCTCAAAATACTGACTTTGTAAATTATTGACAATCAATCCATTATTCAAATAAATTCTCAAAATTTTCAAACAGCTGCTCTGGCTGCGACCTTTGAAAATTTAATAAGTGAGTAATATCAATTAAGTGGTCCAGTCCAATATACAGAAACAACAAAAACTGACAATCGAACGTATGCAGCAACGTTTCGCATTGTCTTACATTTTTACACACCAGTTCACGGCCACGTACTCTAACTGTAAGCATTAAAACATTGAACAATAAATCCCTAAATTGAAATCTAATTCGGAGAAATATTTTTCGTAAATGTGGAATCAGAGCCGCCGAGAAAGCTCATTGGCCTCCAATATTACTAAAAACAGAAATGGATTTTGATCTTGGGTTACAAATTTGCACAATCTGCAAATTGGGTATACAATTTTTTGTTATTAATAAATTAAATGTTAAATGATAATTTTTCAAGTTATTAAATGTAAAACAATTCGGGTTGTTTTGTATTATATCCACGGAGGCATCTGACGCACGTTATAATAAACCTCTAATATATAATAATATATGCCGTTGGCCGAGATTGGTTAAATTTTAGGTGATTTTTTTTTTAGTTTAATAATAGTTTAATAGAGTTTGTGGTAAAATTGTATTAAATTTTACATCCGATACTCAGTAAGCGTGCACATTACACGATAACTATGTGTGTGAAAGAAAGAGAATGAGTAAGCGCGTGGAAGGCGTTGCGTAGCCACTGCAGTTTCATTTGTTCCGTGTGGCTATAATAATAATAATCTGATCTTGTCTAGATTCAACAATCTGGTAGACATGGGCATTCCCTTTAACTCTGTTTTTATATCACAGATTAGTTAGATCAGTTAGTCTTTTGTAAGTGCTGGGCGAAATATTTAAATAAGCTTGTTACAGTGTGATATCACAGGAGCCCGGATACAACAATTGTTTGCTCTAGCTCTTATAGTCTTTGAGAGATAGGTGCTCATCGGAACGCATAGACGGACAGACAGAGATAGCTTTTTGACTCAGCTCAAGAACATGTATACTTTATGGAGTTGGAAACGCTTCTTTCTGAGTGTTACAAAAATTCAAATCCATTATAAAATTAATATATCCTTATAGTCTTTGAGTATCAGCTGCAGAAAAGCAAACATACGGAAGGACAGTGCTACACACATGATCATAATAATAGGTACACACCTACGTAGGCTTTAACATAACAATAACAGTTTTATTCAATATTTTCAATATTTTAAACTTAAAATTAGTTCTCACGTATTCTTTAATTGTTTGTTTTCAATAAAATAAACTTGTTTATATTATAGGATAATGTTATAAAACAAAATAGATCCAATTTTACTTCTCAGTAAATATCAGGCTTATCAAAATAAGAGGTACAAATTAAAGGTTGTTATGAATCAAATTTTTTAACTGATTATTGTTTTTTTGTTTTTCTTAATTAGTATTTACAAGTTTATATTAAGTGTGTCCAGCACTATTTATTTCTTTTATTTATTTATTCTGTTTTTAGCCTAATATTCATTTTTGGCATACTTTTAAGAAGCGTTTGGCGGGTTTCTATAGGTGGCTTATACTACAATTTTTGGACGCCCTCCATAATTATTGCATATTTAAAATTGAAAATAATAATAATAATTGGCTAATAATTTTGTTAAATCTCCCCAAAAGTTTTCGATTGCATTTAAGTCGCGAGATTGAAAATGTAAATTTTGTTCTTCCTTAAAAGATTTGGTCAAAAGCTTTGATGTGTGCTTTGGGTCGTTTTCTTTTTGAAATACCCAGTTATAGTTTGACAGTTTTTTTTCTGAAACATGGATTAAATTTCTTTCCTTTAGGGTATTTCCTTCTCCACATTTTCTATCCAGCGCTTCCTGCGCAGTCTTTGGGATCTTTTCCAAAAGTTTGCCTGATAGTTATATTTTTTTTGGCGCATAAGTGGGACCGTTCTTGCTTTTCTTCCTGGAAGCCGTTGTTGTAGTCGTCTACTGCTGAATGGGTCTGACTTATATGAATAGTTCAAGACTTTAATGGGTCCTTAAATTAACCAAACATACATACATTTCATTCATTTGGCAACGGCCCGAAGAGACTAAGTGCCAATCGAACTTCTCCCACTGTAAAATTAGTGACTAAATGAATGACAAGGAAATATAGAAAGCTAGAAAATATATATATATTATATGGGTATATATATAATATTTATTTATATCAATATAAACACTTCAAGTCCGATAAAACTAATTATTATTAAAAACTTTCAACGTGTACCTATTAATATTCTCATGAGTGTATATTGAAATAGGGATTCTTTCTTATCGAAAATGTATAAATATAATGTGAAATTGTATAAAAACAAAATACTACATAATACTCGGCTATAAAAACCGCTTCAGTTCTCTGAATCTAACTCACTTAAGGTAAAATTCATATAATAGCAGTGGCGCTGAACTGAATAGGGTCGACAAAAAACTACAATAAAATTTCTTATAAGTACGTGTCCTAAAACCTATTCACAAAGCGGCACTGTATAACGGAAGCTAGTGGACGGACGATTAAGCAAACCTTAAACATGTAAAAATACGTAAAAAAATTAATTAAAAATCGTTTAATATATGTACTTACCATGTTTTCATTCCGAAATGTTACCAACAATTTGTTGTTTCTTCTATCATATAGCGAGGTTGTTGAATTATAATTGTTTATAAATCTTAAGCTTGCATGTTCATATGCAGCTAAATCATTACAAAATCGTAATAAAAATAAGCTTTTGTGAAATTGATAGCAAATTACTACAATTTCTTTCATTTTTTCCATCCAGCTCTATAAGAATAAATAATAATTCATTAATATAAATAAATAAAACTGTAGACAAAAGTATCTATGGCCGAAGCATTGAGTTAGAACTTTACTTAGAGAATTATTTCGTGAACATCAGATTTTACTGATAAGCCACACTGGGACAGCAACTCTGTCAAACATTTTAGATACTATTGATTTAATGGAATATCATACTAGTCTGCATACTACCGTCTGCATACAAAGTCCGGTTGCTTTAGTCTTTAGTGTATGACATGTTTTCGCTTATTAATATATTCCTTCCTTCTGGCTGTTAAATACGTATGATATAAAACCATTGCTTAATCGCGTTCCGTCAAAAATACTTATTTATTATACAATATTTTGTTGTTGGGTAGTTTAACTACTAACAAATACATTTGGGTGCACGTTGAAAAACAGTTTAAAGTGCAAATTCAGTGAGAGTGCGGCTGGAATATTTATATACAAATTCCGGGACTTTAAGCGTCGAATCTCTCATTCACTGCGCAGCTGTAGCCGCGGTTCTTGACTTTTCGTGTCTTGCATTCTCGCTCTCGCGTCTATACATCGTCGCTGAAGCAGTATTTCATTTTCCGTTGTTGTGTCGAATTGCACAACGGCTAACATGGACAACGATCCGAATACAGGCGCGGGCGGAAATATTGTGGTGGCTAATTCCAGACTGAGTCTGTATAAGCGTAAAAGTCATCGATAAGTTGACCGCCGCGGAAGTCGAGGTGCGCCTTGATATGTTGGCAGAAATTCGAGAGGAATTCAATAAGGCCCATAATGATTTGGAGGCTCTCGATCAAAACGAGATTGGGGGTGAGCTGCGTGAAAACTTTGATACTTTTTTTCATATCGTTGAAAGCTGAATTGCTGGCTGCTGTTGAAGTAAGCCAGTCACACACCGCTGCTCATTCAACGGCTCTGTCAAACCATTCCGGACATAGTACCATCATCATGGATCACAAGCAGCGACTTCCTGAGCTAAAGGTGCCTAAGTTTTCTGGTGGATACGTCGAGTTTTCGGATTTTATGGCAATGTTCAAATCGGTGATTGAAGCGGATGCAGACATCAGTGACATCGAGAAATTGCAGCACATTCGCTCGTCTCGCTGATGCGGCTTTGGATTCGGTTCGATAGTTGGAGCTCTCCAGTGCCAATTATCGTGCGGCTCTGGATATACTTAATAAACGCTTTAATAAGAAAAGACTTGTTTTCCAGGCACCCATCAAGAAGATTCTTGGGTAGACTCGCTAAAAGATTCTGATAAAAGACTTCGGGAGTTTTCGGATGCAGTCAATTAACACATGCGAGCGTTGCAGACATTGGGAACTGCTGAGGAAATTTCAGGATTCATGGTCATCAACATGCTGCTGCAGAAATTGGATTCGAAGACGCAAACCAAGTGGGAGGAGCACACATTGTCGGATGCTATACCTACCGCAGAGGAATTCTTCGAAGTCTTGCAGCAACGCTGCCGGAAAATGGAGCAATTGGAATATGCTACAGCGACACACGCTAGTAGCGATCAGGTGGGAAAAAACCATTCCTATACGCAGGTTAAGAAAACGTTTGTAGCTTCCAACTCTTCCGCCGACCCGTCTGTATGCGTCCCATGGAAGCGGGCCATGGAATATACTCGTGCAAGATATTTGGAAATCTCTCACCGTTGCTGCGCCACAAAGAAGTGAAGAAGCTTTCCCTATGCTTCAATTGCCTAAAACCGGGGCACCGGACCCGCGCATGCAATAGTGGAAAATGTCGAGTATGCGGCGGTAGGCATCATAGTTTGTTGCACTTCGATAGTATACAGCCCACAACACAAAGCTGCCCAGGTATTACTCCTCCCGATCTGGCCGTTCAACCGGACACTCTTTCCGGACACTCTTTTCTTCACTCTGATGTCGTGCTTCTGGCTACAGCCGTGGTTCTCGTGAAGAATCGGTCTGGCGTTTAAGTTCCTTGTCGTGCCATCTTAGATTCAGGATCGCAGCTGCATCTCGTCACATCCAGGTTCGCCCAGCAGCTTCAGCTTAGGAGAACTCAATCGTCTGCAATTGTGTCTGGGCTGGGCGATACCAGCGTTTCTACTGAATGATCCACCATAAGCATTTGTATGCATTCTTGCACCTCTGCTTACACAACTACGCTTACTGCTCTCATCGCCCCCACGATTACCGATTCTCAACCAAGTATGACAATAAATGTATCCGATTGGAGTATTCCATCTAACATTCAGCTCGCTGATCCTGCATTTTTCAATCCTCAACGGGTTGATCTTCTCATTGGTGCGAGCGTTTTTTATGATCTCCTCTGCGTAGGGCAAATCAAACTCACCGATGGACTGCCTCTTCTGCAAAAGTCCCGGCTTGGGTGGATCGTATCTGGCGGTGGACAGAAGGTACCAAGCTCGGCGCTTTTGGCCACGCACAATTGTCCAGATTCGATAGCTGAGATGGAAGCAAGGTTGGATAAAACACTTCGTATATTTTGGGAAGTCGAGAATTGTGTGGAGGCTGGGTAGAATACCAAAGAAGAAGACGATTGTGAAGCACATTTCGTAAGCCACCTTTCACGGTTGCCATCCGGGGAGTATGCAGTTCGTGTGCCACTAAATAACAATACTGATCGTTTAGGAGAATCTAATGCTCAGGCTTATCGACGGTTCATCAGTCTGGAGCGAAAACTGGAGCGTAATCCTACACTCAAGGAGCGGTATTCCGCCTTTATGATTCCCTGATTCCCGTAGCCTCTGCAAATATTTCTTGCCTCATCACTGTGTCCCAAAGGAGGACAGTACGACGACAAAACTCCGTGTCGTTTTCGATGGATCCGCAGCTACATCAACTGGATATTCTCTAAATGATGTGATGATGACAGGCCCTGTTATTCAGCCTGCATTGTTTAACATATTGATTCGCTTTCGAATATATCCAGTCGCTCTCACTGGGGACATTTGTAAAATGTACCGCTGCGTACGAGCGTCTCCACCCGACAATTTGTATCAGTGCATCCTATGGCGAGATTCCATCGAGTCCGAGGTTCAAGTCTACACATTAGACACCGTCACATACGGGACGAGGGCTGCATCATTTTTAGCGGTCCGCACAATGCGCCAGCTGGCCATCGACGAGGGTGAGTCCTACCCTCTTGGCTCAGCTGCTCTGCGGCAGGAGTTTTACGTGGATGACCTTATTTCGGGCGGTAATTCGGTCGCACAGTTCATGTACAAGATGCACCAAACATCAGCTTTACTGACCCGTGGTAATTTTAGACTTAGGAAATGGTGCTTCAGTCACCAGGAAGTACTTGAGGGAACCCCTGAAGATGACATAGAGAAGTTCCTAAAGTTTAATGATGGAAGCGACATAGACAAAACTCTCGGCTTAGCGTGGGGTCCTGCTTCGGATCAGCTGCTTTTTGCCTTGTCCGCACTGGACACAAACTCAAAGCCATCAAAGCGGTCGGTTTTATCTACGATTACGCGGTTCTACGACCCTCTTGGATTGATAAATCCAGTCATTGTCAGGTGCAAAATCTTCCTTCAGCAGCTTTGGAGAGAAAATTTGGATTGGGATGAAAGCCTACCCTCAGCGTTGCATTCAACTTGGATGGACTTGAGAAATAGTTTGGCAAGCATTTCTCGGATCTCATTTCCTCGCTTGGTTCTTCGTTCTAGTGTGGCTACAGAAGTTCACGGATTCTGTGATGCCAGCTTAGAAGCATATGGCGCTTGCGTGTATGTCGTGTCCAGGGAGTGGACAAAGTCGCGAGTGGCGCCGCTAAAGACTATATCGATTCCTAAGCTGAAATTAAGTGGAGCCCATTTGCTTGCGAAAATCATGCAGAATGTAACAGACATGGGAATCTTTACAGGTCGGTTCTATTGCTGGTCGGATTCGTCAACAGCATTATCTTGGATTAGGGACGAGCCAGCTAAATTTCAAGTTTTCGTGGCAAATCGAGTGGCCTCAATTCAGGAGTTGACGGCAGCCATGGAATGGCGCTATGTTCCCACATCTTTAAATCCTGCTGATATTCTCTCGAGAGGCTCGCTCCCCAACCATCTTATCCAGTCAGAGCTATGGTTTCACGGCCCATCCTTTTTGTTACGCTCCAAGGATAAGTGGCCTGTATCTCCTGCTAACAACATAGCAACTTTGGAGCTTCGCAAGAGCTTCACGTCTCCACATCCCGATCTCACGTCCGGATGCAAATTTGCGAATTCATTCTTTCGCATGCAGCGCACATTCGCCTACATGCATAAATTTATGCATCGTCTTAGGCATCCAGGACTCACCGTTTCTGATATTCGGCAAGGAACGCTTCTTCTAATTCAACACATTCAGCTGGCAAATTTGTGGATGGACATAAAGGAGATTCGGCGCAATGGTCAAGTCATGAAATCCAGTTCTATTAGTTCGCGGTTGGAGGTTAGTTGGAGGTCGTCTTGGCACATTCATCGCTAGGATTTGACGCTCAGCACCCGCTCATTCTGCCAAAGGGACTTTCCATTACCTTTGCGCTGATATGATATTATCACGAAAGAAACCTCCATGCCGGACTTCGCGCCTTGCTATCCAAAATTCGGCTGGAATATTGGCCAATTGGAGTTATTAAAGCAGTGTCAAGGGCAGTGTCAGCAAGTGTGTGAGATGCTTCAGGACTAGGTCGCGCATGGTTGAACACATCATGGGAGACCTACCTAAGGAACGTTTGGAAGGAACTCGAGCATTTGAAGTCACTGGAGTAGATTACTGTGGATCTTTTTTCTACCGATCAGAAATACGCACGAGGCCTCCGATCAAGTGCTACATTAGCGTATTCATCTGCTTCACTTCTAAGGCTATACACATGGAGCTCGTAAAGGATTTGACTACCGCATCGTTTCTAGGCGCACTAAAGCGTTTTACTTCCACTCGAGGAAGGCCAAGTCAAATTTGATCGGACAATGCGACAAACTTCGTTGGGGCCAAGAACGAGCTTGTGGAGCTAA